GCAGCAGGGCCGCGGGAGCCCCTCGGTCCAGCCACCGGGTATTGTTAGCGCCAGAGTAAGGGGCCGGGAAAGCTCTTACAGCCTCTGGGAGCACCTGAGCCCCGTGAACCCCGACAGGGCAGGGTGGCGGCGGCGTGGGGACGCTTTGAGGAAACCCTTATTGGTCTTTGGGGAGAACCTGGGTAAAGCCAGGCCATGTTCAGGGAGACTGCGGAAGTAGCCTCGCGCGTGACCGCTCCTCTGTATCCTTTGCTTGCAGATCAACAAAAAACCACAGTGATTGAAAACGGGGAAATCAGGTTCAATGGAAAAGGGAAAAAGATTCGGAAGCCTCGGACCATTTACTCCAGCCTGCAGCTCCAGGCTTTAAACCATCGCTTTCAGCAGACTCAGTACCTGGCCCTTCCCGAGAGAGCTGAACTGGCAGCTTCCTTAGGACTGACACAAACACAGGTAATTCCCGGGAAGCCCGAATATCCCCGAAATGCTGGCCCCGCTTGCAGATCGGGCAGGGAGCACATCAGGAAGAATTCTTGGCCTAGTCCACCAAGGATGGAAGATTAATGACCAATGCCTTTGCGCCGGTTACGAACTTTCCCTGGGACAGCACAGTGTGGAATAAATGAATACTGGATTGGATTTGCACATCTCCCCAACCCTCGGCGACCCCACCCCAGTCTAGTGTCCTTTGGTGACCAAGCTCATCCTTTATTCGAGTCCTATTTCAAAACAGAACAACATGAAAGAGAGAGAGAAAAAGATATTCAGGCCAGGAGGCAGAATAAGAGATAGGTAGATAGATAGATAGATAGATAGATAGATAGATAGATAGATAGATAGATAGGTATGTGATCCTTTTGTGGGTCCTTGGACTTAAGGATTTCAGCTTGTTGACATAGAATTATGAAGTGAAATGAAGAAGGGAGATAGTCATAGGCTCCAATAGGATTTTGTTGAGGGACCAAGGTGCCAGCTATTCGTCCTGGGATGGGTGAGGTGAGTTTTCCTGAAGATTGCCCTAAGCTCAATGGTTAAATCATCCTGGTGACTGGCTGGTGAGGCACCTCCATAGAGCACAGAACTTGGGAGCAATGGCAGAGGTGGAGATCAAAGAGAAGTGCTGCCCAAATTACAGCAGGTGAAGCCTCAGTTAAGTACAGTTGCTGAAGTTCTGCTGTCCTACTAATTTGAAAGACATATGGGCCCTTTCAGACTTCACAGGAAGGGGCTTAGGCAGGTATATTAAGACCCTGGCCATAAAGCCAGGCTGCAATCACCTGTGGTTTCTGTCCTTGTCCATCAACTTAGCGGCGTGGGGCAGTAGGCCTCATGTGAGGTGGGTGATATTCGGCATGGGGACTCCAGGTTTTCTGAGACTCTTGCTGGGGAATGATTGCGTGGTGCCTTAGAACAGATGCTCCTAAGCTCTTCTGTTCAATTCAGCCTGCTTTCTTTTGCCATTTTGCCTCTGGAAATACGTGGGGCTTGCAACGAAGGGATTCCTGCTACTCAGTAACTTGTATTCCTCTTGGAAAAGCAGATTCCTATGGCTCAGGAATTTTGAAGGTAAAGGAAGCAGCACCCTAGAATTTCCTTCTTCAAATAAAAGGAGACCTGGTACATTAGCTTAGATATTCTCCCAACCCAGATTCCTGATTTCCATTTAATTTTCAGAAGCCCTTTGACTTTAAGTGGCTACGCTAACAATCATGTGATGATTGCTGACCACAGTTTGACTAAGCAACATACAAAGTAGGGATGAATGAGGGAGGTACAATCCCTAATCTCTGCAGGATTATGGGGATATATTTACGTAGGGAGAAAGATGCCCCATGCACAGTTTGTGGCATGTGCAGTGTATGCATAGGGATATTTGAGTCATGTGGGTATAAATGTATAGGCTTTAATCTGTCCATAGTCATCTGCTCACTACATGCATAGAGATGCCAGGTTTGGGGATTGGTAAATATATTTTTAAGAAAGAGACTATCAGAAAAAGTGCATTCAGTTGGCTTTGATCCGAAAAGTTCTGTTTAAAAATCCCTCTTTCGACGTTGACCCCAGGTAGCTCATGCGCCTTCATTTCTTATTTTATTCTTATTTATGCTGTTGTTTTATGCCTTAGATTTGCATCTAACTGAGGAGTTTAGGTATCCAGACAAGATACCTAGTAATGGGTGGGTAGGGTGGGGGTGAAGAAAGAGGTGGAGCAAAGCGGGGACGGGAGGTATTATTATTATTATTATTAAATAATTGCTTCCAAAGCCTCAACGTGAGGCACCAGGGGATGTTTTCGAGCCTAACGATCGCCACTGCCTTTCGTTCTAGGTGAAGATCTGGTTTCAGAACAAACGCTCTAAGTTTAAGAAACTGCTGAAGCAGGGCAGTAACCCGCACGAGAGCGACCCTCTCCCGGGCTCAGCAGCCCTGTCGCCGCGCTCGCCGGCGCTGCCCCCGGTGTGGGACGTTTCGGCCTCGGCCAAGGGCGTCAGTATGCCCCCCAACAGCTACATGCCCGGCTATTCGCACTGGTACTCCTCACCACACCAGGACACGATGCAGAGACCACAGATGATGTGAGTTGTCCGAGGGAAATCGATACCCCTAGGGGGAAACGTCTGAACCAGGCAAGGAGGATCCGGGACCTGCTTGCAGCTGCCACACCGAGCCGAGCCCACGGAGCAGGCTCAGGAGAACTCACGTCTGACCAGACCGTCTGCGCACTCGCGCTCTCTCCCGCTCCCTCCGTCTCTGTTTCTCTCTCACACGCCTCCCTTTCTTTTCCTCCCTCCTCCCTTCGTTCCTTCCTTCCCACCTTTCTTTTCCTTTTTCCTTTTCTTTCCTCGTCTCGTCTGCCTTTTCCCTGGAGCAGCCTCAGTAATTGATCTTGCATCTTAGGGACAGAGAGAGGGAGGGAGAGAGAGGGAGAGGCTGGTTACTATGCCAGCGCTCCTGAACCCCCTCACTGTCACTGTAAGTATATTTTCCCTTACCCCTTGGGATCCAGGCCCTGAGCCTCTTCTTCTCTTTGGGAGTATCTATCAAAACAACTTTTCTTACAGACATCCCCCCCCACCACCACCACCAGAAGAATCTGCACAAACATGGCAGCGTTTTTACTTGTTTAATGAACTTAAGGCGTTACATGATGAAACAGAAGCATTTCAGACTCCTACGTTTTTATTTACCAATCCCAGACTGACAAAAATAAATGAATAAATACTAAGAAGAAAAATAAAAGAAAAGCCCTCACATAACAGCCATTCTCTAAAGGAAAAGGAAAAATCAGCTGAGATTAGAACATTGCCACAAAGGGAGCGCTGCATGTTTTATCAAAATGCAATGAACAAGAATGATGATTTCTAAACAAAACAAAACCACTCTTTTCCCCACCCCCAAACCCTGAACCGGAATCAGGAAAGACAGAGGAAACAACCAAAATCATGGTTCTATTGCTTTGATACTTTTACTAGGTGAATTGGTGGCATTCACTAAGCTAATAGGGACGTTTATATCAAGAAACATTTCTGTATATATTGTTGAATTTTAGTTGTACATATACTTTGTATGTTTTTGTCTTCTTTCATATATGGAGTAAAAGCCACAAAACGCTGGGAGTGTCCTGTATATTTCTCCCTATGTGTCTGTATCTCATCACTTCTCCCTCCTCCCCTCTCATATATTTTCTATCATTCTTAAAAGAATTCCCATTTCCTAATATGGGAAGCCCCATATATACATCAAGTGCTTGCAAAGGGTGTCAGTTTGAAGCACTAGCCTTTGTCTTAAGTACTTTACCATTAACCATGGGTGTTTTCCCAGCTTCTTTTCTATATTAAATTTTATTGTAATTTCTTCTATTTTAAAAAAAAATCAGAACGATCTATCCCCTGACAACCTCTCGTGCTGAAACTGAGTGTTCTCCTCTCCCTTTTCTCAGCTAAAGAAATACAGCTGTATTTGTCTTTCTTTGCAAGCACTTTATAACCAAAAAAAGGAAACAATATGAGAAAAGAATGGAAAACAAATGCACAATTATGACTTTTTAACGTTAAACCTTTGCAAGCTAGCTAGGTAGGAAAAGCACGCTCCTGGATGCAATACATCCCCCGATCTTGTGGAAAGCTTAGAAATAATGGAAATGAAAAGTCCTTTCGTCATACAAGCAGGAAGCCCCATACTGCGAGAATTAATGGCTACAGACCTGGGCATCCTTCAAATTATGAACCTTGAAACCACTGAGCCATTTATCAGAAGTCAATAGAGACACTCAGAGTGCTCCCTATAATGACAGCGACATACAGCCGTGCAAAAGGACAGTCACTATAATTAGACACAAAGCAAAGACGACTTACCAATATACCCGTGCCTTTTTTTGTTGAGCAACTTCCACGCTCAGTCAGTCTTCAGAATGGTTTAAAACCGATCAGTCTTGTCATTTTCTAGCATTCGCATTGTTACATTAGGAAAAATGTTTTCTTTTCTTTTTTCCCCCTTCCTACTGTGAAACTTTGGGTTCGTAGCTCCCCAGGATCAATTCTGAACAAAGCCTCCAGCTGCAGTGCCATCCAATTTGAAGCAGACATTGGGGACAATTTAAGGTTTTTATCCACAAGAAGGTTTTTTTCCATTCTCTTAAATGCAGCCATAATTAGAGTAATTTTTCATGTAGCCCGCTGATTACAGCGTTTTTACCGTCAAAGATAATTACCTGTAATTTTCTTCCACTTTTAATACTAAAAAGCCATCTTTATTTAGATTCAGGAACAGGAAAGGCGAAACAAAAGAGGGAAATTATTCTGTTATTCATACACAGATTGCAGAGACGTAGGACCTAAAATTGAAAATTAACCAAAATTATAATGCTGAAAAGAATGGAAGAGGCTGCAGAAGTACAGCTGGTAGTGGGGCTTTGCTGAATTATTCAAATTACGTTAGAGAGAAAGCTACCATACATCGAAACCAACACTAATTTTTCTTAAAAAAAATAAAAATCCACCAGACACAGGCCAAACCACTGGTAAGTGCATGAAATTCTGAACCCCAGAAAATGCATTTTAACACATTGGAGGTGTTGTCATGATGGGCTTGTATCAATCTATCTCTTAATGTGAGTTTAATTAAATTCTGCCAGAACTCTCCTTGGAAACTGGGCTTCCTGGGCTCCCTGAACCTCAAGGGTTAATGTTTTCGCACTTTAGGTTGTATTGACCCTGTAAACTGGTTGCTGAGAGAGGGGTTGGTAGGAGGGGCGTGGGCAAAAGGCATCACCCAGTCGCGGTGCCTACGACGCCTCCCCACGTTCGCACTTCCCCGGAGTTCTAGAGCCTCGATCTGACCATATTTCCCATTTGAAAAAAAAGAAAGACAGACAGAAAGAGAACAATAGCTGCGGGCGGTGAGGGTGAAGGGGGAAATTTCTTCCCGGCGCCAATAAGCATCTCATTATCTTTTGACACAATTTAGTCCAAAGGTTCCCGCCGCCGGCGGAGAAAGGCCTTTCTGCACTGGGGTGAGGGAGCCCAACATTGCTCAGGCTCCTGCCCTGAACACCTCTAGCGGCGTCCAGCGTGTACGGCGTCAGGAAACAGCGTCATCTATAGATAGAACAGCACGGAGTCTTCCTCGCGCCTTCCTGAATCAGGCTGGTTTCTGGGCTCCGCATCTCGGCTCTGCCTCTCAGCCAATCATGCTCCTCTAACCCCAAGGTCGAAGCTTTCGCCCCCGCAGGCAGTAGCTCGAGGAGAGGCATCCCACCCCGTCCCCACCCTGCCCCCACCCCCGCTTGAGGCAAAGGCCCTGCAAAGGAGCCCTGAAGGGTTTCAGAGGCCAGTTACTCCTGAAACTTTCTCCCAAAGTGGAGAATGTGTAAGGGGCTCTACAGTCTGGAGATAAGACTCCACCTGCCGTTGCAAATGTCCGCATACCTGTGATAGGAAAGGGGCACTCTCCCAAGCTCCATTTGCTCTCCCCATGCCCCCAAACTTGAAACCATCGCCACGTATAAAGACCTCAATGGGTTCGCCTAGGACTAGCTTTGAGTAACAATTTGCAAAGAGATTTTAGCTTGGAATCTCCAGCGCTCTCCCTCCACACCTTACAGAAACCTAGTCCTTTCCACAGGCTCCAGTCACAAGTTGCACCAAATACATCAACAGCACAGAAAGCAAAAAGAGACAAAGCGAGTTCTTCAGGATCCCATCCTCACCTGAATCTTTTACTCACCAGAATGACAACCCCTTTGCTGTTAACAGGGGGGATAAAAGATCAGAATTGCAAAATCTGTAAAGCAAAGTTGCAGTCTATAATGAATTACAACAGCAACACATATACCTTGGAAAGTGTGAGAAGATAAGTATGAACTGTGCCTTGAAGTATGAAAGAAATAAAAACTTACCCCCAGTGAATATCTCTTAAGCAATGATCAGGTCTAGAAATCTATACTGAACAGAAGCAGAGAGGAATATTTTTCTGAGTCTCAGGGCAGAAGCTCTTTCTCTATATTCTTGGTTGAGTGAGCACATCCAGGTGTGAAATTGTTTGCACACCCCAGCACCTCTTATATTGCCAGCAAAATTAGCTGTTATTACTGTCACTGTTTAGTGATGGTTAGCGTGATACAAAAAAAAAAAAAAAACTGCTGTAATCAAGACCTGGCGCATCTTTGCAAATTACAGATAATTGTAAACGTCCAGATTATGATAATAGCATCCTAATCCAGCCTGCAATATAATTATTACAGAGTGTTACATCTGAAACTGTCCAGTAGGGCTAATTCAGCCATTATTTAGACCCTATTTTTGCACTGCAAATGGGTTGCTGAGTTGAAAATGTACGATTGTAATTTCACAGGGCACTCAATGAGTAATGGTATAGGAAGAGGAAAATACAAAAGTGAAATGTGAACAGTAGCGATCAAATCAAACCCTGAAGGACAAAAGACTGTTTGATTCATATGGAAAAAGAAGAGTGGGAATTAAGAAAATAGCAAATCAGTGGTCTGAAGCATTACGTGTCCAAATCTTCAATATGTGTGGGGCTGATGTGTTTGCAAGGGCTGCTGCATCTGCTGTTGCCTGGAGTCTGAAATAATTTTTTTCTTTTTTCTTTTTAAACCCTTGTCTTTCCCCACGCTCTCTAAAGCATTTCCTTGGATAAAAGTGCCCCTCCCCCAAGCAAAGAACACTTGTCAGTTTCACCATTGTTTCCACCAGGGTGGACTCAGAGTGCCTGTCACTTGTTTATGAACATTTTCTTAAATGAATTTGCAGCCTCTTGTTATTAGCACAAAATGCCCTGGGTGCATGTAAGTGTTCCTGAGCTCCATCTCCATTCTCTTTCACAGGGAACAAGTCACTGAGAGTCCTGCCGGATATTAGCAGAAAATATATTCATTGCTGCTAATTCAATAAAGCCAGGCTGGGAAGCTGTCTCCACCCTGCTTGGCTGGCTACTGGCTTTAATCCTATGATTAACTTTTATTAATTAGACCCCCCCCCAACATATAACCCAGTTCTAGCTGCTTGTTTTGCAGCAAGTCACTAATGTGCTTCTTTCTGGATTCCAGAAACTCCAGTATTTTGGGGGAAAGGACTATCCTTGCCCCCAGATAGGGTTGTAAAACTCCAAGGTGAGTCTCCTTACAAAATGGAAGAACCAAAGAGAAAGGGAGTTGGAGAGTTAGAGCAAGAGAGTCTGGAGAGAGGCTGGGGTGCTGTGCTGGTCCCCGAGTGAAAGTGAACTCCAGGTTCCAGCTGTTGCCTCCAGGAGGATGAACCCTGCTCTGGCTGAGACTTCTGGA